AGCACCAGGCCGACGAGGGGAACAAGGGCTTCAGAGCAAGAGGCTCCCCAGACTGACTCAAAGAGATCTGTGGGTCCCTGGGACAGGGCCCCCGTGGAACCTGGGGGAGTGTGCTTCTGGGACAGGGAGCTGGGACATGAGTGCACCCCAGGGCTGCCCAAAAGTGACCCAGGAAGGAGAAATTCCCACCAGCTTGATGGAACTGGAAGGGGGGAGGAGTAAACTCAGGTTGGTTGGTTGGTTGGTTTTAAAAAGCTATTTCTTGACTACCTGAGGTTCCAACCTCTTACTTTCACATTTCCCAGCCTGTCACAGCAGCCACTGCTGAGCCACCAGGCGACACCATCCCCTCACCTGCTCTAGGAACCTGTTAGAGGGGAACACAGCCCAGGGCCCCCTCAGACACAGGAGCCAAGACAGGATCAACAGTCGTCTGATAATGGACTTCCGGTCGTGCCAGAGCCCGGATTCCTGGACAGCATCCAATGTGCGCGCACTGGGTATCAACAGATTAACAGGGTCTCTCTCCGGAATTCATGATTTTTTTAATGGGAGAAATTATCTACTAAGTGGGGAATAAAATAACAGTGTCATATACTGAAGGCATTTGTGGTATGCAAATATTACAGAAAGATAAGTTCTTTCTCAGAGTGTTGGCTGTATTTCTAGTCCAGCACAAATACATTTACATGGGCCTGAGGCACTTTGTTCGAAGCCTTCACATTTCCAATACTACCCTCGGAAAGTACCCCAGGCCTCAAATTATTTTGCTTTTACTAAATCCTAAGCCCCTGGACTAAATTTCGTTCTAGGGAACAGAAGACAGATTTGCTGGTTTTCTCCTATTTTTAACGCCGTCGTTTATTGTAGAATTCTCTCAATAGCAAGCAAATGATAGGGGAGAGAAGAAATGAAAACATTTTTCAGGTGTTTTTTGAGTGGAACCACAGTTATCGCTAACATGCAGTTCGAATTAAGACATCAAACTTGTTACAGGATTTCCAATCAGGAATCCGAGCTTGCTGAATCGGGGGTTGGGGACCGGGCAAAAGAATAGAATCAACATTAAAAAGTCAAGCTGAAAGAAATCTTTACTTGAGCTATTAATAGAACCAGGCCTTCTTGAAACTGAGGGGGGGAAATAACTCAATTAATTTTCTTCGCCCAGTAGTACAGCATGCCTCTCCATACCTCGTGGACTGTGACCAGACATAGATTTTATTTTATTATCCAGCCCACCTTGGAGATCCCATCACTCGGTGAATGAGGCTGCTTCCTAACACTGTGAAGAAAGGAGAATAGGGCCAGGAAGCCCAGAACTAGAACCTGTAGTAGACCCCAGGAAGGCAATTTGCTGCATGAAATCTAAAATCTGGGAGGTCCCCAGCCCAGGAGTCCTTGCCACAGCCCTCTCTCCTCTCTGATCGCTCCACCATTCCCAACTTCTCTAAATATTTTTAGGAGAAGGGAGCCCACTGCTCTTGCTTTGGAAAATAAGCTGACCCCTCCACCACAGGGGGAAGAAGCTGAAGCAGGATGAGAAGTTCCCCGACGCTTGGACACGTCCAAGGCAAGAGCTCTCTGCATGACTATGCATGAGCAGTTCCTAGGAAAACCCAGGATACTAAACGCACCCAAAATTGAGGGTTTCTCCTACAACAGACAAATGTCCCAGGAAATGTCCAAATTCCTACTGTTGAGGAAACAATCTCTACCCTGGCAAATGATGTCTCAACCAAAGGTGCTGCAACTGTCTGCAACTTTTGGACACAACCTCTCATGGGACCTCCCCAGCAGGGTGTTCTCTGAGCAGCCAGAGGGGCCTCCTCGAAGGGCAGGGAGGGATTTCCCTCTGAGCTGGTCCCCTCACAAACCACAGCAACACCCCCACAGCTCTCCAAAGGCAAGCATCTAGGGATGAGCCACAGAAGCAGGAAAGTGGGCTGGGGGGCACATGCTGCCAACATCCCTAACCTCACCCCATCACCCACCAGTGCAGACCCGGCAGTCCACGCAGCATGCTGCCGTGGAAGGAGCTCATTCCATCCTTGTCCCTGACGCTGCCACTTAATAACAGCCTTGTTATCGAGGGCTAATTGTATGACTTCATTACTCAGTCTTATCTGCATAAGAGTATTATCTGCCTTATGTGGTAGTTGTGAAGATTAAAGAAGTTAATATATGTAAAATGGAATTTGGGAATTTGGAGAGCACTGTACTAAAGCTAGTTATTGTTGTTTCACATGAGTACAGATTCTTACACAGGCCTGGTCCACCGGGAACTCAGGAATGAAACCATCCGGGCATGTGTACATGGAGCCAACGGGACTGTAAAAAACCACACAGTTGGTATTCTTCATCCAGCTCCCGAATGCCATCCATCAATAGGCTGCTTCAGACTCCCATGGAGCACTTGTAAAGATACTGATTCCAGAACCTTCTCCAGAAGATTCCACAGAATCATAAACCCCCAAATGTGTAAGGTGAACCAGCTCTCCGGGGGATTCTGACACGCAGTCAGGTTCGGGAACCAACCGCACTCCTTCGGACAGGACCAGCAACTCTCCTATGCCGGAGCTCGTCATGGGAATGAAACTGTTCTGGGGCTAAGATGAGCTCCCCCTTTGTCTCTCCACCTCTGTTCTCAGACTCATACACCCTAAGCCACAGAGGGGTGCAGACACAAACACATCCACAAGCAACACGCCTATGCAGACATACAGTCATACTTACAGATGAAAAACAGGAAGGACAAATATACGAACAAAAAGAAGGGCACCTACCAAAAGGTATCAGGATTGTTAAAGCCTATGGAATTGGTAGTTATAAAGGATACAGAAAAAGAGGGGAGAAAAAATAAGACAAAGAGCAAGAGTCAATGATAGAAGCCCACTCTTCCATTGCTACACAGCACCATGTCCAGGCTTTGACATTAGACCACTCCCAACACTATTCATTTGTTTGCAATGCTGCCTCAACCAGCAACTTGTGAAAGCACCCCCAAAGAGCTGGACGCAATGTACTCATCACAGCAGCACCCCAAACCTGGCACAGAGCCTGGCACATAGCTACATTCACTCCATAAATACGTGTTCAATGCATGCCAGGATGGAAAGAGGCAGGTAAGGAAGAAGGACAAAGTGTCCCAGATCCCTGGTGGAAACTAAGAATAAGTAAACTTCAGGTAATGGGCTTCAACACAAACCAGAGGTCACGTCCCCGTGGGCGTCATTAACTGCATCACAAGGAGCAGAACCATTCAGGGGAAAGGGAGAAAAGCTCTCTAGACCTATGGGCAGGTCTGAGGTGAGTGAGAAAATTGATCCTGTGCTCTAAAAGTTGTTTGAAGTCACGAGTCTGACCTTGTCACTTCCCTGCTTAGTACCCCTCTGAGGTCCCCTGGCACCCACAAGGTCCTACCCAACATGACCCACATACACCCCCCCAGCCTCATCCCTGACGTCTGCTCCCTGCTTTACGCTCCAAATCTGCCAAACTCACACAACGTGCTGTGTCATTCCTCTGAGCCTGTTCGGTGCAGTTAACCTCTACCTGGAATGCCCTCCCTACCCACTGGTAGACCTACTGTTCATCCTTCTCAACTCAGTTCTGTTAAGTCTTCCTCCTCCAGGAAGCCCCCAGGCTCCCATGACATCAAGTAAACTGAGACCCTCTTGGCTCTCAGCACATTATATAGTCTGTCCACTGATGAGTGAATCCCACCCCAGAGTGTAAGTTCTGCATCTCTGGACTCATAGCATCTAGCACAGTGATGGCACTTGGCCCAACAACAAAAAATGCTTGTGGAACACAACTGAGAATTGTCAAGATTCCAAAACATAAGTGCCAGGAGACTTAGTTAAAAGGGGATCTGAGAGGCACCTAGATATAGTAGAAAGATCCTGACTCTCCGAGGTCTGAACTCAAATCAGTAGTGTCCTAAGGCAAGGTAGTTAAAGACTGCACCTGTTCCTAATCTATGAATTAAGTATAGTGCCATCCAACTCATGCAACTACTTATGCAGAAACACCCACTGTGTTACCAGGCACATCATGAAACCTCTGTACTTTACTTACTGGGGAGACGCCCCTCTCCCCTTCCCTGCGCTGTCAGTTTCCTACTTTGGACCTTAAGCTCTTCCAAGCGCTTTTTCCCAGTCCCTGGAGGACTGCTCTGCACCCAGTTCATAAACATTGTCTGGCTGCTCCAGAAACTCGGAGGCCTCCTTCTGTGTCCCACGGCCAAGTAGTGGAAGAGAAAGAGACAGGAAAGGGGGCTCTGAATTAGAAGTAAAAGTGACCCTGCAGGAAGAACCTTCTGGCTCTGCTCAGATGAACCAACTGGGCAGGAGTTTGAAAAGCCACTTGGATTCTCATTTCCCCAACTCCCCACCAATAGCAAGGAGTTTGTTTTCACAGACTCTTTAGTGGTGTTCAAGCTCCCATGCAGCCGAAGGGCTCGGGAACAATTATAAAGCAGGGGTGGTGACACACCGAATGGCCAAAGGCAGCAGCCCTGGGGGGCTTCAGGGAGCTCGCCTGAGATGCGCGCGGGCGCCGAGCCCCTGGCCTCCGGGGTTGGGCCTGGCAGCCGCGGGAAGGAAGGAGGCCAGTGCAGCCGCCAGACTTCACGTGGGCACCAGCGCGGCTGGCCTTGCCACCCGACCAAACAGCGGCGACTCTCTGGAGGAGTCCACCGACCGCTACCTGCTGGGCCACTATTCTGCAGGTCCCCTTCGCCCCGGGACCCCAGCACGCGGCCAGGTGGAGAGCTCCCCTCTGCCCGCGACGAGTGCCCAGCACCCACACCCACTCCCACCTGCACACACGGCGAGTCCGTAGATGCCCCTGAGCTTTTACACAAAATATCGAATAATACCTTGTAGCCGCATCCGGCGCCCAGTCCCCTGCTCACAGCACCCAGACACCCCCTTGGTTTCCTGGGAGCCTGCAAACCGGGCGCGAGCTGCCCGCTCCCGGCGCACCGCCAAAGCCCGTACCTTGGGGGTCTGCACTTCAGGTCCCGCGGACACCTCCAACTTCTTCTTGGTTACCCAGAAGAACAGCAGCACGGTGATCCAGAGCACTCCGAAGATGGGCAGCGCCAGGCGGCGAGACAGGCGCCGCATGGTCCCCTTTGCCTGCTCCCCTCCGCGAGCTATGCCCCTGGGGCACCCCCTGGCGGCCAGGGTCGGTGGGGCAGGTGTCCCGGAGCGAACCTTGCTCGGAGGAGCGCCAGCCCCTGATCGCGGTGCAGGGGCGGCGGGATCCAGCAAATCGCCCCGCCTGCTTCCGAGAGAAGCGAGCAGGGGTGGGGACACGGGGCGCCCCGGGGCTCGTCAGGGAAGGGCCGAGGGGCAGCCAAGCTGGACAAACGCAGGAGCAGCGAGCTGGTCCCCGCCACCTCCGCCGCCTCGCCCGCCGAGCTGCGGGAGGGAGGAATCGGAGGCTGTGCCGGGCACCCCGAGAGGAACACAGCGGGAAAGGGGAGGAGAGCGAAGGGGGAGGGAAAGAACCAGAGACTGACCGACTGGGAGAGAGCCAGGGTGGGCGCGATGGGGCTCTGGGAGGGGGCGCCACAGCCGCCTCCGACGCTGCGCACCGCGCTGTTCTGGGGCCGCGCGAACACGCAGCGCAGTTCCGGGCCATCCTGGGTTGGGGCGGGGCAGGGCGGGAACAGCATCCACAGGGCCTCCGCCAGCCCCCGCGGGACCGGAGGGGCAGCCTGAGCCTGGTGGGGCTGTGCTGGGAGGACTTCCCGCTCACAGCTCACACGGGGCTCTCAAACCTGCGTGCCCCCTCAATGCACCCGCCCCCCGGAGAGCGGGCTCTGGGAGCGGGGGCGCTGGGGGTGCTCCTGGCAGCTCAGGGCCAAGGCCGAGTTCAGCCAACTCCCCAGGGTGTTTCTCTGCCTGCATGCAGGTGCCTGGCAACTTTTTCTGCTTAATGGAACACTGAGTTGGTCTAAATTTAACTTTAAAGAAATCCTTTTAAAAATTAAGGCACAATTATCTCCCTTAAGAGTTTTCTCTACTAGCTTCAGAGCTCTGTGCTTGCAGATGGTTCTAGGGAGGGGTCGGAAGTTGGGCCAACCACATGGGGTTCTTGGAAAGTGACCCTGGGCAGGGGGATACTGGATGTGTAGGGTTATCTTTCAAAAGGTGGGAATGATGTACCTACGATTGTAGCCACCATCCTCCCTGCCTCTCCCCACAGAGCTCAGCATAAGGGAAGCCCCCATCTGCTACTGAAAGTGGGGCTCCAGAATTCATTCTTCAATAAGGAGCCCCCAAGAAGTGGAGTCAGAAATGCGGGAATCTGCTGAAAGCCACTCTGTTTGGTACCTTGTCTTTCAGTCACAGGGCATTCCTGCCTCACAGCCCCCAAAGAGTTCTTGGCCAGGCTGTAGATAAGAAAGTTTTCATTGGACCCAGCTGGTGTGACTCAGTGGCTTGTCATCCCATGAACTGAGAGGTTCTGGTTCCATTCCCGGTCAGGGCACATGCCCAGGTTGCAGGCTGATCTCCAGTAGGGGGCGTGCAGGAGGCGGCGAATTGATGTTTCTCTCTCACAAGGATGTTTCTCTCTCTCTCCCTCCCTCTCTCTCTAAAAAAAAAAAATCAACAAAAACATTTTTTTTTTTTTAAAGAAGGAAGTTTTCGGTTGGGAACAGAGGTGGAAATCAAACCGGGCAGAAAAGCGAGCACTCTTGCCAGCCTATATCAAGGTTTGGCTGAGCTCAGACCGCAGAACACTGCGGGTGATCCAGGATTTGCCTTCATTGGAACTCTACTGAAAGGTTGGGGTAGCTTCCCCAGCCATCACCTCATCCCAGCGAAGGCCCAGGTAGACCTGTCATGGAGGGGGTGAGGCAGATGGCAGCCAGAGAACCCATTATTTTTACAGCATCTTGAGCTACCTGGATCTCTTCCAGGAGCCTCTCCCTGGACCTGCAGGGTTGGGCCTGCAGTGTTCTGTGGCAGACTCTGCAGGGGACCCTCAGGCAAGTGCCTGAGACACTGTCAGCTCCACGCAGGAGCTGCAGCACCGTAGTCCATTGCTCAGTGCTTTGTGATACTGCTTCTGAGTAACAGATGGCAGAGTTATACAACACCACCGCCAAGCTTTCGAGTTGGTGCAGCACACACTGCCTGCTGCAGAGGTGCTAGGTGCTTCATTCTAACAGTTTAGCATCTAGGGAAACTGAGGCCCTGGGGCTCCCAGGGCAGCTCCATGCAAGGCCTGCGATGCCTGAGAGAGCAGGGGTGCCTTCAAAGGTGCTTGCCTCTTGAGTCACTATTTTGTCCTCCAATCAAGTGGAGAAGATTCCCTGGGCCTCTGGAAGCTCTCGAGGGAATCCAGTTTTGCCAAGTGTCATTACCTGATCCAGCCAAAAGGCATATTAGTCTGGGTTGTCAAACCAGTAAGTTATTAGGATTAAAATCGAGTTCAGATGGACTTCAAACATCTGGCTGCCAGGTGAGTTTTCACACCAAGCCCAGCCCTGTAGATCTCTCCCAGGACATAGCCTATCCGGGGTCCTCCACACTATGGCAGATATTTAAAAATTTAATAACCAGCTTGAGTAACGCAGAGCTCAGTTGATCCCAGCAGGGGATTAGCTATCATTAGCGATTAATCCAACTTACTTCTTTCTCATCACAGCCTATATGGGTAGGAAAATGTCCCAGCAAAAGATTTAACATGGAAATAAAAATAATAATAATAATAAGTGCCCTCTGAATTAGGTATATCCTGGTGTCTAAAAATGAATTGAGCTCCTTGGTCTTGATATTCTTGAGCAAGTTCCACATTTCTCTGGGTCTCGATTTCCCCATCCATCATGTCCTGCCCTCTTTTTATTTATTTATTTATTTTTTTTATTAATCCTCACCCAAGGAAATGTTTGCATTGATTTTTAGATAGAGTGGAAGGTAGGGAGAGAGAGAGAGAGAAACACCATCGATTGGTTGCCTCCCACAGGACCTTGACTGGAGCTGGGGATCAAACCTGCCACCCAGGCACATGCCCTTGACGGAGAATCAAACGTGGACACTCTAACCGCTGAGCAAACCGGCCAGGGCAACGTCCTGCCCTCGCAAAGACCCTTCCAGTTCACGCAGGGTTCTAACGTCCTTGTCCCCGAATTAGGATTCCTTTTGCCACTCCCGTCGTTGGCAAGTTTCATGTAAGTTGTTTCTTCCTCACAGCCGAAGACATTAGAGAGCGAATTGGGTATTGGAGCAGATGTGAGTCATTCATGTTAGTATAAAAACTATGGAATAAAACCCATTATGGCCCCGGAAAGCTGTGTAAAGCAGCATACGGAGCAAATGTAAGCTGCAAATGGGAGGAAGCTGTGAAGTCCGATGCATATGCTCTCCAGTGGCGTTTGCTGTGGGTTTTCACACTTTCTTCTCGTTTCCTGGTGCTGTCCTCCTGTCTCTCTCGCTCAGCTCACTGCAGAGGATGCAGCCTTTTGTTCCTTTTGATCAGACTCCCCATATCCCTCCTCTCTGCCCACTGCGTGGTGACTTCAGTAACAGTGCGCGTGTGTCTGCCATCTGCATGCTTATTAGACCTGTCACCACCAGCAAGACAACAAGATGTCCTTCGTGCCAACCTCGTGAGATTGTACCCACAGAGGCCCGAACAGCTCTCTGTTGAGATCTTAACACTTCTGGGCTATAGGGACAGGTAGGCTGGCCCAGTACCACCCAGGGTCTCAGACAGCAAAAGGAGCCAGAAAAAATTTCATTATGTCTGTCTCCATTCTATGGTCATAGAGACATGAGTCTCTGGGCAGCCCTTACAGTCTGCTCTGTTCACGTTCTCCAACTGTAAATAATACATCAGCCCCCTTTCTCTGTGTTCCTCTCCCTTTTCCTTGTCACTGTAGATTCTGTCAAAACCTCATGTCCAAGTCTCCTGCAAGGCCTTCTTATAAAGGATAGAATAGTTGAGAATGCATGATAAATGAGAATGAGCTATTACCAACCTCCTAACCTCCTCTGTCTGCCACATTGGTGCATCTTTGTTAAAAGAATAAAGCCAGCCAGCTTTTCCTCTTATCTTTGACGAGTAGCTGGGTGGCTTTATCTAAGGGATCTGAGAGTGACCTTTCTAGAGCTTCCTCTATCCATTAAACAACTTCTTTCTCCACCCCACTACTTTTATATCTTAGGTACTACTGTATAATTTGCCTCCTGAAAAGGGACTCATACCTCTGCATTTCAAAAACCTGCTTCTTTCTTTCAATATTTGAAATGCCCCCAAATTTTCTTTGTTCCTTCCCCAAATGCCAAATGTTAAACTTACTGTTGCTGCACTGATGTCTTTGCTGGTTGTGGAAAGTGGTTTGATCTTCGGTGGTGATGTCCTGCAGTGGCCTGAGCCATGGCCCTCCCCACCGAGAAAATGTGTATTTCTAGGAAGGGGTGACCCAATAAGCTTAAAGAACAGTAGAGGTAGCTTCTTTAACCTGAATTACCTAGAAGGGTCTCTAAAAGAGGGGAACACAGCAGAAGAAATGGAGGGATCCAAAGACAGGGGTCGTTGACTCCCCAGGTCCCAAATTTCAGAACGCCAACTCTGATGGCAACTTGCACCATCTCTGAGAGTTGAAGTCAGTCTTCTCCGTAGGCTTAGGTTTAGAGGCATCCGTGAAAGGCAGAAGGGGGCAGGAGGGCTCAAATTCTGGAAGTAATAGAACTGTCGGTGCTCCTCTCTAATCTTGTCAGAACTTCAACAGTGAGAAGAGCCAAGGATGCCCCAGGGATGGACATGGGACAGACCTGTCTCCCAGGACAACCTCTAGTGGTCAATGAGAGATTCTGTAATCAAGTCAGTAGTGGACATTGCATATCAAGCAGGGTAAGCACATGTCCCAGTTTGCTTTCTGGTTTATTCCTATTTTCTTGACATCAGTATTAATAATGCCCCCTTTGACTTTTAAAAAATTCCTACTTTAGACAATAAATCTGATGGCCATTCCAGCAGACAGAAGCATTTCCAGTGATGTTGCTGAACATGTGGGTCTTTGCCATTAAAGTTCTCCTGAGTGTGTGCTGAGTTTAGGGTAGCCTACATGTTCAGGGGGGCACTATTCTGAGTAGATGATAGTCAAGACATTTGTTCAAAGAA